AATGGGTCTTTCACAGGTTTATATTACTATCTATGCATTCATACAAGAAATAATATAAATTATTCTTCCAGCTCTGCGGAGCATATCGTTATTGATCTCATACAAGGCAGAGGGAACTGTGGCTAAAAAGATTTGTGGTGAGACGGAAACATAAAAGTGACCTTGAATTGGTGCAGAGGGGCTCAAAGCATCCACAGAGGAAGGCTAAAAAAGGAATATACTTTATATAATTATAAACAAAAACAATAAGGACTTCTCAGTATAGCCAACAAATAAAAATAACATTTTGCAGAGTTTATCGCCATCTACCCGATTTTGATTGCACTTACGACCTATATATGTATTATACAAGCACGTACAAAGTTCACAACAGCTTTGAAAGAGAAGAGATGAAAACTGAATATACTAATTAACCTGAGTATTCTGTGTAAGAAATAGTTTGCAAAGGAAATTCCAGTTATTCATGTTAAATCAAAAAACATGCATTTAATTACAGCAGTAACTCATGTCGTAATCAATATATTGCATCCAAGGACAGAGCCAGCTATCAATGCATTTAATTTATATTCACAGTGCAAAGTCACATGCAAGCAGAGATTTTCCAAGAAATACTGTAACCCTGGGTATTAAATGTCCCACAACAGAAAATCATTAGAATATATTTTAACTTTTATAGTCTGCAAACATTCAATTTTCTCTAATTCAGGGATACTTTTCATTAATAAGATGGATACCACTTCATTTGTAAAACTAATAATTATTTTAAAAAAAGAAAACATGTTTGGTGCTAGCGAATATGTTTGCGAGGCGTATTGACTGACCGCCTATTGGGATTTGTCTAGGCTCATCGATAATAGTCAAACAGGCAGTTAAAAAAAAAAACCTATTAATAGCTTGCATGAAAAAATAGTAACTGGAGCATTTTCCCTTCAGCAAACTCTTTACAGGACACGGGACTATAAGAAGAATTATAAACAGGAAGGACCTGTTGTGGCTTCTGGAGGGTTAGAATGCAGACTATATTCAACACTTTAACAGGTCTACTAATTCACCGCTTACCACCAAATCCCAAAGACCACAACCAAATTCATATGTTTGCTTGTTTATTCAATTTGAATAGGAGGAAATAAATATCAAGTTCTTGGACAATCCACATCTGCCTTGAAATATTACATGACACCATGGGAAATGGATTAAGTTGACTAAGTTAGCATGCATCTATAAATACTGGGGTACTGAGGAAATCACTTGGGTTGAGGGATGAAACATCTTTAACATTACAGAACAAGTCCAGTTGAAGGGGGCTACCTATCACTACCTATCAAATAATAATTAGGGATGCACCGAAATCGATACTAGTATCGGTGCCGATAGAGTATTCGGGCAAGTACTCTTACTCGCCCAAATGCTCAGATACCTTTCCCGATACCCGAACTTCCAGTCAGAGGAAGAGTTCCTCTGACCGGCAGTGCTGTAGGGGAACATGGAGTTGGCTGCCCGGCCAAGCAGCCGCGAGCCGGCCCGATCATTATGAAGCCACAGCATATCATAACACGTCACCCGGCTATTTGATTGCCCGGGAAGCCGGCTCTATGCCAGGGGAAGCACCGGTGGTCGGCATCCACAAATATCGAAAGCAAAATATCGGTGCATCCCTAAAAATAATAATTAAAAAGTAAGGTCTTGTAATAAGACATCATAACCTGGTTCAGTAAAAGATGACATATCAGGGATGCAAAACCTTTCACCATCTTATTTAATGAGGCGTTTGAATGCAGTTATTGCCTTGAAGTACTACTAAAGGCTGGTTGTTTTTTTACCCTAAAGCAGTCTCTGCATTAAGGTAAAAACCGCCCAGTTCCTTTTTGGTCCCTGAAGCGGATCCTCCATTCTCCAAATTTCCTGCTTGCGGGGAAGGGTGCTGGGGGCAGAGGTGCCATAGGCTCCTTCTGCCAGTCAAACTGTTGGGAGGAGAGGTGGGGCGTGGCCTGCCACAAGACTGTGCGTGTCCATGGACAGGCACACAGCTACTGCAGGCACAGCCAGGAATGCACACGCACAGTTGCTTCCACAGCAGCCTCTTAGCTGATGGAGGCAGGAGGGAGAGAGATGTGGTGACCCACAAGAAAACGAGGAATTTACTAAAAAATTTTAAAAAAAGGAAGCACAAAGATCTGCACAAATGCGGGCCTCCCATTCATTAAAAAAAAAAAATCACTTTAAGTTGTATATGTTATTATTTCGTACAAGCGTTCATATGAAAAATCTTTTTAGAACATTTGATGCCATCAGACATTCACTTTTAGAATGAACAGAATTTCCAAAATTAAAAAAGAGACACATTTGCTATTAGAATTTTGTTTATTTCAAGAAAAAAAAATCCATCCTGCTCCTTTAATTTTTTTTGTCACTTTAGGCCAAAAATGATCGTTGATTTAACCCCATAAGGTATTAGAAAGATTAACAATGCTCCAAAGACGACCATTTTCAAGCAAAATTCTAACCATGTATACCCAGGTTGAGAATTAGACCTAAGAAAGGTTGAATTATATATATTTTTTTTAATGGAAACTAAAAACAAAGGTTTATTGTCCATGCTAACAAGATGCAGTCATATGACTAAAAAGTTCAGAGTAGGGTTCCCAATGCAGCAAAAGCAGTGAACTTGTTACAAGAAAGGTTTTCATCATATTATGTTTGTTGAAAAGTTGTGCTGCTAAACTTAATATATATATAAAATATATATAAAAATAGAGCATGCTTACTACAGGAGGAGTTCATTTTGTACTCACCTCAAAAAACTTCATTTCTTCTAATTTACTGGATGCCAGTACACCTGAGAAATAGTCCCAACTATAAGAAGGATGCGCCAGAGAAACTGCAGCTTGGCCAATCAAAATCCTGGACAGGCCCTATAAGAATCACCACCTCCCTTGACAAACACAGCTGTAATCCAGTTCTGCTACAGCACTTCAGGAGTTCCATTATAACAAGACTCTAGGAAAGGACTCAACAGGTGAACGAGAGACTCATACTGACATCAGAAGGCAGCACAAGACGGGGGATCCATTAACAGCAACAGCAGGACCAGTGCGAAAAGTATGAGGGGCCTAGAAGTTGGTTTAGGAGACTTACTTGAGCACTGTATCCCCAACCTGTGTGTAGTCATACAATCAAGCGATTGCCCTTGCATGAGTGTTTGGTGGCAATCATTGAATGTAAAGTACAGCTTTATTTGGATTTGATACGATAGTAATTCAGTTTAAATTGACTCCGTCCCTTCCGTCTTATATTTTATAAATGTCGCTCTCTTATGTATGTCAGCAGACTGCCTGCTTAATGATGTATGTAAATAGGTACATTTCTACCTGATAAACCACTATAATATATGCAGATATATCTCTCCCACATTTAATGTGCTCAAAGACTGTTAAACAGTAAGGAATGAAGAAGTGTACTCACAATCATGTGATAAAAGGAAACATGCCTTAGAAAGGACCATTGCATACTTGTCATAAGAATTTGTCTATATGGCACACCTGCTCTGTAATATCCTACCTGACCTACCAAGAAACAGTTCTAAAAAATAAAATATCCAATGTATAACTAGCAGACCTGAGCAACATATAGGGAAATCCTGGAAAAAAGCCTGATGAGGTCTGCAAGAAACCTGAGCCTAGGGATAAGGTCTGTGCTCCAGAAAGAAGATTCCAAACACAAAACTATGCAATAACTGCTTAAAAACAATAACGTTAATGTCCTGGGATGGCCATTTCAGAGTCCAGCTCTCAATCCAATAGAAAATATGTGGCTGGACTTGAAAAATGATGTTACATTGTGACCCCCCATGCAATCTAACAGAACTGGAACAGGTCTACAAAGAAGACTAGGGAAAAATAGCAAAGCTGTGCAAAGCTAAATGATACCTATCCACACAGACACACGGCTGTAAATGCTGTTAAAGGAGTATCTACTAAACACTGACTTGAGGAGGGTATATATTTTAATGCACTCGGATATACTATTCCAATATAATTAATTCAAACCACTTTGCAGAGATCTCTTTTCACACTGACTTTAAAGAGTTTATTTCTGTTCTGTTATTCTGATCAAAACCCACAAAAATCAAATGCCCTGCTAGTCAGTGTTCTAGGACAAACATGAAAACCTCTAAGGGGTGATGATATTTTATAGGTCCTATACCATGTGGTTAACCAAGTATCATCAATAAGACCTCAAGCGTGGTAGAATATACAGACACAGGACATATGTGGTGGATTTTCCAATGAATGACACGGTAGGCCTCTTCTGTAATGTAGGCCTATAATCCACAATAAGGTTCTTGCTGTTGGTCATATAAAAGCATCAATGGAGCGATTCTGCCGACATGCAGTACACATACATTAGTAGCACATATCCACAGCACACCCAGAGAGCATAAGTAATTCTAAGACATGCTTTTATCACACGCAACTAATACCGAACCAGGAAAAGGCAAAGCCGCAAAACTAAAATGTTGTGTCATAATTAAATCGAGCCGTGATCAGGGTTTCTTTCAGCAGAGAGAAATACCCCACTTAGGTTAACCAGCTTTTTTCTTTTTAACAGGTAACGGGTTAACCAGCTTTCATTGCATATACACAGAGGGAACCAAGCTCCAACAGTGACATAATTCAGATGTAATCAGATAACCCCAATCACAGTTATGTCATTACACTTCAAAAAACCTCACATAGGAAGCCCCTTTCTGAGAGCAGCAGATTTCATCCCACTTGCAGACCCATCCTAAGAATCACAACGTTGTACAGGAAGGTGGCGTTTTCATTGGTGCTGCTCATGATGTAGCCAAGCTTTTAATTTTTGTCCTATATAAAAGGTGGTGCTACCTCTGAGGAGTACTAGCTAACAGATTAAAGTAATTTCAGAGCTTTTTCAACATATTCTACCACTTCCAAGGTAACACTTAAGAAGCAAATTCTCAGTACTGGAATCATGCTTACCCTTGTATGGAGTCAGACTGCTGCTGTGGCTCTGCAGGGGAAATAGTTGGGGATGAAGGACGCTTTGGAGAAGTCTGTGACCCACGTCTAGGAACCTTTGGTGATCGCGGTGCTTCTCCCAGAAGGTTTCCTTGTCTGGAGGTAGTTACTGAACTGGGGCCATCCGTCTGTGAGATTCCATGAAACTGGTTATTGTTTTCTAGGTTCTGTAGTGCATCTCTGGTCATCAAATTTTCATTAATGTCATGGTGTTTACTGTCTAAGGGACGCACTCTCCTTTCTGGACGGTAAAAATAATCAGAACTGTTATCTTTAGATTCATCATCTTTAAATACTCCAGAACTCTTCTCGGAGGTCTCGCTGTCTTTTCTTGTACGTGTGTACCTCGACTGATAATCCAAATCTGGTTCAGAGTCAAAGGGTAGTCCGTATTTCTCTGCCAACTGGCGCCGGCGCTCTGCTTTGTACCTAGCTATGCGCTCTGCTTTGGATTCCTGTTCAGGCACATCCATACTTCCTGGAATACTGGAGGTTTCAGAAAGATTGTCTGCAGGTTGATACCTTAGTCTAGAATGTGCCTCTATTGAAGACTCTGAAGCTGCATCATCATTGTGACCTTTAATAAATAAAAAAAAGTATATCTGGCTGAACAAAAGCATAGATTTAAAATTAACTTTTTTTATTCATTTGCTTTATGTAATGGCGAGTCCAACCAAAACTGCTTTTTTAGCATTTGGCCAATGGTGAAGCGCTTATTTACAGGTTTCTTTCATATCATATGCCAGTGGTAAAACCTGTACGATTGTGTTCCCTGGCATGCACACCAGCCATAGGTCTTTACAAGGTAGTTTCACTCTCCATGCTGAATGTTTAAATTATTTTACATTAGGGAGAATGTAACAGAAAAAAAGAAAATTCCCAACACCCCAAGGTGGGCAGGACCAGGGACTGTGGTAACTCACCGCTAGATACCCCAAGAAATAAAGACAAGAGACTAAAATGCCAATTTAGAGACATCTGGAACACTTCATCTCCAGTGTTAACCAGAAAGTGGCAGCCCTGGTCTCTTCACTTCCACTAACCCCTTGGTGCAAGTGGAATGCAGTGCCATGCTATATGTTCCTTTCTTTAAGCCAGCATGTCATACAACACCAATTCCAAAAAAGTTGTGACGCTTTGTAAATATCTACATAAAAACGGAATATAATGATTTGCAAATCTAATAAACCAATATTTTATTCACAAATCGAAAACATATCAAATGTTTAAACTGAGAAAATGTACCATTTAAGAAAAAAAAAAGGTAATTTTCAAATTGATGGCAGCAACACTTCTCAAAAAAAGCTGGGACAGGGCAACAAAAAGCTGGTTAAGTAAGTGGTACTAACAAGGAAGAGCTAGAAGAATATTTTGCAACTAATCAGGTTAATTGGCAACAGGTCAGTAACATGATTGGGTATAAAGAGTATCTTAAAGAGTATCTTCAGAGGAGTGTCTCAGAAGTCACCAATCTGTGAAAAGCTGTCCAACAATTTCAGAATATTGTTCCACAACATAAAATTGCAAAGATTTAAATATACCATCTACAGTACATATCAAAAGACTCCAAAAAATCTGGAGAAGGAGACAAGGGACAAGGCTGAAATGCAATGGTGGATGCCCGTGATCTTCAGGCACACAGACTGCACTGCATTACCAATAGGCATGATTCTGTGGACATCACTGCATGGGCTCAGGAATACTTCCAAAGATCACTGTCTGTGAACACAGTTCCTCGTGCCATCCAAAAATGGAAGTTAAAGCTCTATCATTCAAAGAAGAAGCCATATTTGAAAATGATTCAGAAACGTCACCATCTTCTCTGGGCCAACACTCATTTAAAATGGTCTGCCCTAAAGTGGAAAACTGTTCTGTGGTCAGATGAATCGAAAATGTTACATTCTTTTTTTTTTAGCAACCATGGGCACCACGCACTCCAGACTAAAGAGGATAGGGACCTTCCAGCTTGTTTTCAGCTCTCAGTTCAAAAGCCTGCATCTCTGATGGTATGGGGGTGCATTTGTGCGTATAGAATGGGCATATGGAAAGGCACCATCAATGCTGAAAGATAAATCTATGTTTTAGAGCTTTTTCAGGGAAGGCCTTGCATATTTCCGCAGGACAAAGCTTAACTGCATACCGCATCTATGACAACAGCAGGTATTCATCATAGAAGAGTCTGGGAGCTTAACTGGCCTACCTGCAGTCCAGACCATTCAGCAATTGAAAATATTTGGTGCATCTTGGAATGAAAAATATAACAAAGACGACCCAGGACTATTGAGCAGTTAGAACCCTATATCAGGCTTTCAAAAAAATTAAAAAATTCTGTTTTTATGTAGATTTTACACAGCATCTCAACTTTTTGAGAATTGGGGTTGTAGATCCTACCTTCCTGTATCCCAAGTAGCAGCCAGGGGAAAGATTTTTGTTGTCAAGGAGACCAGAAGTGCTTCCCGATTGCCTACTTACTTTACATTTTCTTATCTACAATTCTCTGATTATGATGTTATATGGTTGGTCTTGATAAAAAAAAAAAAAAACCTATCTACAAGGATGCTGTGAGATGCACAGTGCAGGAACTTCAGTATTAAGCAGCGAAGCATATATTCCCATAGAAAAACATGACTATGTAGACCACATGGCAACCAGGAGCTACGGAGCACTGCAAAGATCAAAAGGGTGATAGAAAGTCAATATAACTGGTAAAATGAAGGGTGCAGTGCAAATCAACAGGTAGAGAATGTGAAAAAAGGGAATTGGGGCTTTCAACAAAATGTTTAATAAGACAAAGCCAACAGGGCACGATGTTAAGAGAATACAGCAGTATAGAAATGCTGTGACTAAACTATTATCAAACATAGGGCATGAATATCAAGAACCAATGACGTTAGCAAATGGGTAACATGGTATGCAATAAATTAAGGCAGTTTCTAATTGCAAAAAATGGGAAATGTCTCCATTGGCGGTTTTTTTTTTAACCAATCATCAGAGATTACCAAACCTGGGACCATGGCTGGTCAGTGGTTTGTGGCAGGAAACAGCTACTATGGATTTCCAAAGTCAAGTCTGGACAGCACTGAAAGGGTCAAACAGCTCTGATCTCCACCAGTCTTAAAGCAGCTAAAGCCAGGTCGAGTCTTGTCTCTTACTAGTGTAAAGGGGAATACTCTTAAAAGTTAGACCTGCTTTGGAGTTTCATACCTGTCTGTGCACTATACGCATCTGTTGCTCTCATATATCTTGGCGTGTCTTCCTCTAACAGTCTGTTTTGTAACATTATTGGCGGTGCTTCATTTTCAATGCCTTCCAAGCGCCTTGCAATTCTTTCCTTCCTGCAAAAAGAGACAATGTTCTGGAATTCTGAAAACCCTCCAATGATACAAAACAAACCAAGTCAAGGCCAATAACCGAGCTTACCTCTTCATTTCTGAGAAGACTTTTCTGCTTGGCTCAAACAATTTTCTTAATTCTGACACTAAAGACATAGAGAAGCTTTGTGAGGTGCAGTAAATTAACTGTGTAAACATACACATCTGCGCAAAGTTATAATAACCAGTAGAGACCATCTCAAGTTCATATGGTCAAAAAACTAAAAAGAAAAAACACTGTTTAGGGATGCAGTGTGTTTGTCTTCATGTGCATCTGTCCTCCGATGGGGTTTTGTTTTAAAGTGTATATCAAGCCAAACCTTTGTTTCCCCTTACTTACTGTCCTACTGACATTTTAACACACAAACAGAAATAAACAAGACAAATAAAATAGCTTTTTCTTTCCAGTAGATGAAGACTAGAACTTGACAGTCACCCCTTACCCAACTGGTAAAACCACTGTCAAATCGACAGAAAGTGAGGGGAAACTCTCCCCAAGGAAGCACAGGATAGCAGTTAAAAAAAAAAGACGGGGTTTAAATCCTTTCCAACTTCATCTAAAACTAAAGATAAGTTTTTATTTTGACATACATTTTAATGCAAAGTTAAGTGTACCAAATGGATAGCAATGGATTAGTAAGTTATGTTATCTGCCATATTGCTGTACTGCTCTCTAGTATATTAACAGACTGCCTTTTTTCAGGGAGGTCACTGGTCTCTAGTAAATAGACATGTATCCTCAGTGAGGTCACTGGCCTCTAGCAAATTAATAGTCTGCATACTTGGTCATGTTTCTGTCCTCTGCTGATAGATAGGCCATGTTCTCAGTGATGTGCCTGATCTCTAATGAATAGGCTGTGTTCTTCTCAGTGACATGCCTAATCTCTAACAAATGGATAGGCTGAAGTCTCAGTGATGTGTCTGATCTCTACTGAATAAATAGGCCCTGCTCTCAATGAATGGGTCACCATCTACTGCTTGATATGCCGTCTTCTCAGTGATCTGCAGAAAACGCATAGGATGTGTTTTCAGTGCCGTGGCTTATCTATAGAAAAATCATGGGCTGTAATCTTAGTGGGGTGAATGATCTGTAGCAAATTAATAAGCTGCATCCTCAGTGGCATGGCTGCTCGGTGAAAAAATAGGTGATGTGGGTGATCTGTTGCGCATGGATAGGCCCTATTTCCAGTGAAAGAGCAGATCGACAGTGAACAGACATGTTCTCAGTAACATGGTTGGGCTGTAGTGAACAGATAGGTGGTGCTCCCAGCGATGTGGCTGATCTGTTGGCCAAGGATAGGACATTATAGGTCTGCTATGTATAGCAGACCTATAATGAATGCACATGCTCCAAGTAACATAGCTAGTCTGTATTGAATGGATAGGCTGCATGCTCCATAGTCTAGCTGCATTCTTTTCTTTTCATGAATGGATGGATGGATGGATAAATGACAAGTAGCAATGACTTCAGTGACAGCAATATGGCTGCAACAGATCAGGAGCAAGTGGTGGTAGTGTTGAACACCGCATGTGAATATAGCCATCCCAGGAAAATACATGACAATACGTAAACAAACGGTCCCAATTAGTAATTAGGGTGAATCATAATGGATACATTAAGGAATGTTTAGATGTTTGCTTTTTGCAATGGATAATGTAACATGAGTGTACGAAACAGGAAATATTATATACATTTCTTCACACAAACATTACAAGGTGACATTCAGCACACCAAAAAGCATATTTTAGGTTTTAAAGGTCTGCCCGGAGATGTGAAATCTGCCGATATATCATTTAGCACAGCTGATCAGACTTTTACACCGCTTCCAGGAAATAAACTATCCATAACTGCTGGGATCTGACTCGTTTCCCAGTTTCCATATCTCAGAGTTTCCATGACATGTGTCACTACTGAAATATTAACCTGCTGCCTCAGCACTGGGCGCCAACTGCAACACATTCACAATAAAACAAGTGCTCCCCAGCCTGCCATAAGATTTTGGAAGGGCTGTAGTTTTATGAAATGTAACTGAGCTGGTAAATCACATATGTGACACACATCTGGAGATGCAGGACCCTACGAATTGTACACATATGATCACTTCTTACCTTTAGGCAGGACAGAAAATATATGAGCATCAATATCCCTGGAACGGTTCCCAAAGTCGTCCGCAGCTACACTGGAAAAGCTCTTCTGAAGGCTGATTGAAAAAGAAAATATATATATATACACTCATTCTGTTAGATCACCATTTAAGGGAAAGTACTAGAAAAAAACCCTGTTTTTCATTCTAAACACTTTCTTAAGAGGGAGTTTTATGTATAGATTCAATGCCACAAGACTAATATTTAGGACAAATTTAATAGAATGGCCGAGCCATACAGGTATTCTGATCTGTCCCATAGTCCATTTATAGGGAGATTCCAGCTACAACCAATAAAACATTTTCCAAAATAACTACACATTTAAGCTAAATGGGACTGTAAGATACAGGGTACAAGAGGAAATTATGCACCAGCTATTGTTACCTGCAGACATGAGGGAGCAAGCAAGTCAGGAAGGAAGCCATTTGTAAGCATGAACAGTCCTTAAGCTAATAAAAGTTATTTACAGACAAAAAATGGTTTATTTCTTATTTATAACTAGCATGAAATAGATCATTTGGGGACTTCTGCTGCACATCACTAAGGTACAGTAAAAGCTCTGCAGGAGCTGCACACCACCTGCCAACATAGGAGTAGAACGTAAACTGCGGATGGAGTAATCATTCATAGAAAGAAAGAATTAAGAGCTGTACCATAGACAATGCAGACATTTTATATTTTAAATATAAAAGGCGGCAAGAATTGAACAACATCTGCAGGTGAAAGAGAACCTTACCAAAAGTATTTTTCTAAAGGAATAAAATCAAATATGGGTGAACACCAATGGTTAACTCACTCTCACTGTCTTCCTATGTCTTCTCTAGAACACCAGTGGAGGAAATCAGCTTGTTGGGAATATTAATCTTTGCCAACTCGGACTACTTTGTCTTTCTGCATATTCCACACAATGCTGGAGACATACAGTATTGCAATATCTAGACTCGCCAGAGGGCTTCAAATTAGAAAAATGAATGAGGTCTTTAGAAAACATGGGCATGACAGATTACAACGGGCAAATATAACTGAGCGATTCAATATATAATGAAAAAACTTATGTAGATGTTGCCTTCAGTGAAAAACACAAAACAAAATGATTAACAGATACAGAGATATGGGAATAAGGAAACGTTGGTTATAAGCAAATCTCTGTATTGTTGATTTTGAACTTTACCCTCTCAAGTCTCCATACTGGTGAGCAGGACTACACATTGACAGAGGCAGGTACGAGATCAGATTTGCAGAAAAGTTTAGATTATATATCACCGTGTATTTCTGGACCTACAGATTGTTTTGACATGCTGGTTTACTCCCCCCAATTCAGTTGGAATTGTTCAGCTTTTACATAGGTTCTCTTTAAAGCTGAACTCCAGGAAAACAGCAAAGTGCACATATGAAATTCATATATAGGAGCGGTTTTACTTCACAAAGAATATGTAAATCTGTCCACCCATTGCTGAGGTTTACACAGCACAGCCCTTTCTAGCAGGACAGTAGGCCTGATTTTTCCTTGCTGCAGTTCAGTAACACGCACAGGCCTATTTCTCCACCCCTGCCTATAACTGGACAGTGACAGAAGTAGCAGACATATGAGGTCATCTCCATCACACTGCTCTTTACTCCGTTGCTTTGCGGTTTCCTCCTATCAGCATACTCCTGTGCTCTGGTGAGCAGTGGACTGCAAGAGGCTGATACCAAGTCAAATTTGTGCACTTACATTTGCATTTAAAAACATATTTAAGGATGCATTAATGAATACAGAGCTGCATTCATTTAAGTATTTTATATCTGCCTGGAGTTCAGCTTTAAGCTGCAGGGGAAATGCAAGCATGTACGGTCACATCATGATGGAACTTCTCAGGAACAGGAATGCCCGTCCAGTCTTGTACTTCCTTTACACAATAGGGAATGAATAAAAAAAAACAAAAAAAACTGAACATGCAACTTCTTGGGAATAATTCCATGATGATTAAGTGCTTCCAAGGAAAAAGGGAATGGAACTCCCCGGCCATTTAAAGCCCAGAAATCTCAAGCTTTCAGGAAATAAAGGGAAAGTCTGCAGATCCCAGCTGAATGGGAAATCTCTGAGTCTCCTGGTATACAGCGAGCTCAGAATCCTGCACAGATAAGTGATTTGAGGCCAGTGCGGGGTGGAGGAATGTGCGTTGGAAGAGGATGAAACCCGATCAAATGCCCTTTTGCTCAGAAAAGGAAATGGCTTTGGCTTGCACTCTCGGTGCTCACAGGATAATGTGACCACACACATTTTGCATGGGCTTCGATTTGCTTACTCATCAAACTTAAGGGCGGATGCTCAAAAAGAGTTACATGAATAAACACACAAAAAACCCACAAACAGTAAAAACACTATTTGTCATAATGTCATGCAACTTAGTACAAGATGAAACTATTTGGGCGAAAACTAATAAGAACATCGCCAACAATGCTGCACTGCATAGTTGATGCTGGCAAAAGATCAGAAAATGTATGGTGGGGTATGGGCTGCCCGGGATAGCAAGGAATTATCTTCTAAATTCATAACACAACATTTTACAAAGAATGCAGCAAGGGCGTGCAAAGCGCACTAACCCATGGTAAGCAGATTTTAGGTTACTGCTGCCAGCTGGCAGATTATTTCTATTGCAGTTGCTTAGGGTTACTGTACTTTGCACACCCTAACGGTCTTATTCTGACTTCTGAAAACCACAGCAAATACAACACAAACATAAATCTTGCCTGCAGCAACCTATCAACAATGTTAGGCTTTGTTAATTGGCCAGCGAAAGGAAAAGCTGGTGTCTACACAGATGATGTGAGTACCGACTTGATACTGGTGGGGAAGGAAGTACTAGGTGCAACCTGGCAATGTTTTTAAAGGAAGTATGTCATGAGGAATAAAGGTTACGTAATGGTGTGGACTACCAGACCACTTTGTGTGACAGTTGAACCTTGGCACTTAGAAACGCACAGCGTCTGGAGTATGGTGCCCCGGCAAAGTGCTGAAGCGCTGATCCCAGTCCATTACATTGTTGTTGTTTTTATTCTTTGTTAGAACTTTATTGTAATGTCACAATTTACATTTCATTCAGTTGTAGGGGCTCAGTGGGGTGTGAGGTGGTTATACTGCATCGCATCTCGCTGTTTTGAAAAAAATAAGGCAGTGGTGTGAATGGGCACCATGCGTAACTAGGCAAACTGCCTTGTTTTGCATTGGGGCTGCGCTGGCAATAACCAATGCAGCTCCAACGCAGACGGTGTGAATAGACCCATACTGTTTTGGTGCTTACTTAAGCCAGTGAAGAAAAAATATTTTTAGACTGGCTTCTAGTAGTTAAATGATTTGGTTTTTTGAATGTTTCTGAGAGTGATATCAAATGTGACAGTCTCATGTCACATATGCCTGCAGTCTTCTGAAGCATGCCCCCAATCACAACAACTGCAGTCTCTGACCATATCTTGTATCATGTATGCATTCTTTGACCATCTCTTGTAGCATGCTCGTAGTCTTTGACCATCTCCTGTTGCATAGTCTGCAGTCTGATAGCTTCCTGTAGTATTACATTCAATTAATATTATGTGTGGCCCTTTACTGATATCCACTATATCTAGCAAGTTGACCAGCACTGCCCCAGGAACTTTCTTGATGTTTCTTTTGGGTGTACCTCCTATGCCTAAGGTCCAGAACTGGTTCTGTCAATGACAAAGTATTGTGTTGGAGAAAGCCAGGCACCTAGCCTGGTTCACACCTCTTTGCGCAATAATGGACAAAACGCAAAATCAAGCCAATGGCGACAGTTCACACCTTAGCATTGTGCAACGCGTGCAATATCAACCTGTCATGCAAACAGGTGCAGGAGCTTTTTTGCAGGCGCATGCTGCATGGTTTTGATCCTATGCATCCCTACGCAAAATCAGGTAAAAAAGTGCGTCAAACACCCGAAAACAGCGTAAACCGCAATTGCTTAGGTGTAAACCATGCCTGACAAAGGAGGAATTCAACAGCCGCCTCCATATTTCTCTCGGCACACATTTCCTTTAATGCAGTCTTAAAAAAAAAAAAACCTTTTCAGGATGTTCATTTGTCAAGGAACCTTCCTGCAATATGCAAATGGAACAATATTATAATAAAATTCTCACTCTGTGTTCTAAGCATTGCACTGAACGAATCAATATTTATATGCCGTGTATGCAGACGCAGACAGAGGTCCTTCTAAGAGTCCATTCCGTGCTGATCTCAAAAGGGAGGTTTTGGGAGTTTTTAATTGTGCTTCAGTGCTGCAACGCAATTAAAAACGGCCAAAACCGATTCCATTGAAAGCTGTATGGAAACTACACTGATCAGCGCGGCAAAAAAGGGGCAGGGAGCAGTTCGGGCAGGGAACGGTTTGGATCGCGCTGAGCCGAGTGGTCGCATGAACAGTTCCCAAAGCGATGTAGGGGATCGTTCATGTTGGCCGAACCGCCCGGGTGTGAACAGGGCCTAAAAGTACCTGGGGGATCTCCTTTGGTGAAGCCTCGGAGTTCTGTGATGAAATGGTCCTTCTCGGTTAAAACCTAAAATAAAAAACACAAAAGCAGAATGGTAAACATTGATGGTGTCAAAAAGTATATCAAATTAGTAACTAAAAAACAATATATATTATATGCAAGTACATAAAGAACACTTTACCAAGCCATATTTCCATCTCTACTGCCCATGTCACATAACTGAATTCAATTCCAGACAACCACTCTCCCTGACCGACATTACGTTGAGATTAGGCACCTTCTGCACTACCCACCGAAATCCTGTTAGCTGAAGGTACTACTCTTCCATGGATACTGGAACTAGCACCATGACCACTTCCACCATGCATATGTAATGTATCACTTTCCATACTATCAATTCACATCCGTCCCTGCCCTCAAGGAGCTTATAAATTGTGGTCCCCATCTCACATGTATATATAGAAGCGCCAATTTGGACAGAAGTCAAACCTCCCAGCATGTCATTTATGTGTGGTCAGAGAAGTCCTGCTGAAATCATGACCTATATTTGGAGATGATATAAAATGTTATGACGGGATGTTGCCATATACTCACACAACAGGTAAGAGGTCAGTGACAATTGTGTCACTGTGAGGGAATGCTGGCTCAGAAAGCTGAGAGATGAAAGAGCAATGACAGCAAACCACGGCTGGAGTCCACACTCCATTAGGACAGGCTCATGAGACAGATAATTTCTGTGCTATGATGGAAGGCATTAAAATTGTGCTCTCAGCTTGGATATTTCACCTCTGAGCCAAGACTTTGGATAAGTTATTTCCACAACGAGGATATATGGAATTTATGTAGTCACCCAAACAGGCAATTTAAAACCACATTCTTGTATATTTAAAATGAACACTCCTAACTGGAAAATTAAGTCTTGAAATGTATACAAACAGTGCAGTCTACCTGCTCAGCAGTCATTACATCATATGCGTGTTGTGACCCCCAAGTGTGCTTGCCACAAAAATTAACTGAGCTCAGCTGAGCTTATAAATTAAAGAACCCCGCTGAGCTTTGTTCAAAGCCTGAACTAAGGTAGGGTCCAATAATGCCTGCCAGCTCAATCGCCCTATAAAGTAAATGGCAGCTTAAAGCTGGATACAAACACACATATTTTCTTTGTTCAGCCTGCCGGCATTAGTGAGCACAGGTGCTGTGGAATGAAAATCAGAGAGGTTATAGCCTTCCTTTAAATTTCACTGAATACAGTCTGTAGGAGGGCAGTGCTTCCGAAAGCCTATGTAGAAAAGATGTGTAACAGCTCTCTGCTTCCTACTTCACCAAATCGCATTGCAACTGCAAAAGAGAGGTTTGAAGCAGATTGGTGGTAGTGAGAAACTTCTGAGCAATGGCATTTATTTTTATATCAGGCATAAGAGTCTGCAAGTGTTCCAGCATCACAAGGTGGGGTGAATTCATGCACTGTAATAATATCTGGATGAAATACTGAACTACTTAGCAGGTATGCTTTTCTCCCTGTAAGCTCAACTTTATTTCCAATTCTGAATTTAATGTACCATTAAAACCTCATCAGGCTAAAAAAACTTCAGGTTTGAGACAAAATGTGAACGTGGAAGTGCAGATGTCATTTAAAAACACTGATTATCCAAGTGACACAGATGCCTAACCCCTGGCACTTCACACTCCCCAACTTTGGCCTGTCTGGTATTGTGGTGAACAGCACCAAATTAGATGATTCAAGATGGGACAACTTTCAGTTTGGAACTGAAAGGATATAATTAGTTTACACCAGACTCATCAATCTTCCTGCGTGAGTTATCACTGTGACCTTTACCTATGGACAGCTGCCAGCACCCAGAAACTATGCAACGGCTAACGTCCCGCTTTCCTGCAAGCCTCTGCGGGTTTATTCACAAGCTTGGTCACTCTTGCTTTCCTTACAACAATTAATCCATATAATTAGCACTTTTGAATTAATTCTTCCATTGTTTGGAAAGGGAAGAAGGATTGGCTGTAAGGACATTAAGTTATGAGCAATCTCTCCAAAAGGACACAGACAAAACAAACATTTTCAGTAAAGTGAGGAAATGTTAAAACGTGGACAATGTTTTTGTTGTCTGTGCCCTGTTTTGGCGACAACCATACAACATGTATCTTGAAAAGTCATCATAGTGCAGGAAGTGAGGGAAAGCCTCTCCAATGAGGTCAAACAGGAAAGCAAAAAAAACAAACCTCCCACTCTACCGCCACGCCCCACTTTCAAAGAGAAATGTTTTTGGGGAAGGGGGGGTTGCTGGAGTTGGGCGTTATCCCTCAACTGTAAGAACTGCGAGACTACAAGACTGTTGCTATTAAGAGACAAAACAGCATGTAAATGCAAACGGACCATAAAATATACACCCAAAGGATTTTGAGATTAGATCTTTATTGTAGGTATAATAAAGATGTCTTATGTAAGCAGGAACTGAAAATGCTAATTTTATATTTAAATGTAAAATATCTGATTCAAATTCAACACAAAAAACAATTATTAATTTTACAATTTATTATTATTCAAAAAAAAGTTTAAAAAAAGAAGGTTTGGTTATTAAGACTGCGATACCAACACACACAAACGTCATCAGACATTTAGTTTGAACAGACAAAAAACAATTTCGGAACGCTCGTTCGACTTTCTGATCGTTGATGGGGACAAACTGAGGATCAATTTCGACCACGGCGATTAAAAAATTTGAAGGAGCATGTTAGAAATTTGTTTGATCGAGAAAAAATTTCCAACAGTGATTGTGGTTTTCAGTCGGAAACTCCATTGATTCCAAAATAGCATGTTAAATAAAAATGAAAATTAAACGAAATTTCGAAGGACAATCTGCAAGTTTCTGATGCCAATATCAAAGGATCTGATGGGATTTTTCGTAGGAACGTTCATATAAAAATCTACCCTTTAACACAATACTTTAATTAGTGCTCCCTTGGAACTACAGTGACACCTCAGTGGTACCTTCAGGAGGGTGACTACTTGTGTTCCCCATGGTCCCTGTGTGTGTTGTAAAGTAGTCACCACTCCAAGCTCACTCCCGCGATGCATTACAATTGTGCAACCAATTGTGGTTGTGCAAAAAAAATTCTTAAGAAATCCCGACAAATAAAACCTCATTTGTTTTAGGGAGCTACAAGAACAGAGTTATACTCACCCAAACCCCAAACTCAACTGACGGCTAGACTAGTCTGTTCAACCTGGCGTCCCCCATGGCCCAGTGGTCTAAGGTCCAGCAAGTGATCACATCCTACAGGACGTGAGGTCGCCATGGGACATTCAATCGCTGGAGTGGAGGAGACAGGTTGAAGGGTCTGATCTAGGAGCCAGCTGGGTTTGTGGTTTGGGTGAGTAACGATTTTAGCTCCCTAGACAAGATAAACACTTTAACGCCGGACGTTTTATTTACCCGGAGTTCTTCTCTAAAGGCACTGTAAGGAGAAAGTGGAAAGCATATGGAAAGGCATCAAGAGCTCGAACTTTGGGCTGGATAATGGTCACCAAAGTATGTTTACCAAAGTAGAGACAAAATGCACAACGCCACTATACAAGAGGGGCTACTACAAATGAACAAAACACACATCAAAGCATGATAAACTGCATTTAAATTAGGTCAGATTGTAATGACACAGATCCTCAGAAACAAGACAGAACCATTTGTGATACATAGTGCAGTAGCATACATGCTTGGTCATAGCGTATTTGTTTACAGCAATCAAGCATCTGGATTCACCAGAATTACAGAACTGAATTGATCACTATGGCCAATGACACTTTTTGTGCCCTAGTTTTTTTCAGGCAAGCCATGGAAACAGATGACCTCGAACACAGGACCGCGTGGTGCTGGCCTAAGGCTGCACAGGACAACTGATCAATTGGAGGCAATACAGTGAGGAAAATAATGATTTGATCCCCTGCAGATTTTGTAAGTTTGCCCACTTACAAAGGAATGAAAGGTCCATAATTTTCACCATAGGTGTATTTTAAATGATGAGACTAGGAATGCAACGATATATCGGCCGCCGAAAGATATCGGCCGAAAATTGCACTTTTGGCATAATGGCAAAAGTGCCATTTTCTGTCCGATACAGCGGTGCATCCATTCTTTCTCTTCCCCGCTGGGCTCTGCACTGTCACAGGAGGCAGAGCGCTGCGGGAGGAGAGCGATGTGAGCGGCCAGAGTCTCGCCTCCTATCACAGATCAGAGGAGAGCATTGTGGGCGGAGACAGCCAGCGCTGTCACAGGAGGCTGAGCTCTCCTCCCGCACCGCTCGCTCAGCCTCCTGTGAAAGCTGTCAGACAGGAGAGTGGGTACAAACACTCAGCGATCTCTGAGTGTTTGTAAATAATGGAGGACAGAGTAAGGTTACTATAGCCTCAATTATGAATGGGAGTTCTCTACATCGCCTCCTGTTCATTCATAGTTGTGGTAATAGTAAACATACTCTGCCCTCATGTTATGAATGAACAGGAACACTCAGTATAGAGGATTCCTGTTCATTGATAACAGGGGCTTCAGAAAAAGAGATTGAGGACACAGAGTCCTCAATCTCTTTTTCTATTTTAAAAGGGAATAATCAGGTGTCTGTTTAGACCCCTAATATTTCCCCGAAGACCCTAGAGGTAAAAAAATAATAATTCATCTTGCATGGAGCTCCAGACCGATTGCGATTGTTTATTTTGTATTCCTTCCATTTGCGAATAATCACAACTTTCTCGCTGGTAGTCGTGTAGCCCATTCCAGCCTTGTGCAGGTCTATAATCTTGTCCCTAACGTCCTTTGACAGCTCTTTGGTCTTGCCCATGGTGGTGAGGTTTGAATGGAAGAAAAAGATTCTGTGGACAAATGTCTTTTATAAACATAACGAGTTGTCGTTAGGAGCGCCTTCTTAAATTGGCAGGACTAATCTGCGTACCACATAGCCAGTCTGTGGGAACCAAAATTATTGTTGGTTGGTAGGGGACCAAATACTTATTTTACTCACTGAACTGCAACTCAATTTATAACATTTGTATCATGTTTTTT